GTTGACTTGTCACAAATCAAACAAGAAAAAAAATATATAAATATATATATATATATATGTTAAGAGAAAAAGAAAAATTCAAGTGGAAATATGTGACTTGCTGCAAATAAAATTGAACATACATAGAGTGTACACATTGAAATAATAAAGAAATATGAACATGTTATCGATAAATGATGTTTGTGAATGTGTACTTTATATTCTTTCGAATAATTCTTTGTACATGACGTTGTTAGTAACACTGGACAACTCACCAGATTCGCCCTTGATGAAAATATTTATTCCAAATCTACTCTTCACCCGAGACAAGGCTACGTAGAATTGAACGTGACTAAAAACAGGCCTTGGAAGGTACAATCCAACGTGCGAGAGAGTTTGGCCGTGACTTATGTTGATGGTCATGGCAAATAATATAATCACCGGATATTGTCGTCTTTGAAATTTAAGTGGTAATATGGAATTCGAAGGTATCAAAGTCATCCGAGGAATAAATACCATGTCGCCAACATTCTTACCGGACAATACCTTGCAACTAATTACGTGCATGCCTAATCTTTCAACTTGGAGACGAGTTCCATTGCACAAGCCTTTCGCTAGATCGATATTCCTAATGAGCATAACATGAACGCCTTTCTTTAATTTCAGCTCACGCTGGAGAAGACCGGAGCACGGTATTGTATTGAGAAACATGGTCGAGTAAATTTCTACATTAATCTCGGAACATGCTTCATCCACGCATGGACTGTCAGAGGTCGGGTAAACCTTTTCCTCTTCTTCAATTAGCAACGATAGATAATCATTCACATATATAACACCCTCGTAGGTCCTAGAATGGCCCTCCCCTGAAAGAAATTAGGATTGGCAATGTTATTCAGCAATTCCGGATACACGAATTGCAGGAGCTCTGAAAAAACATCCTTCGAATCTCGAATCAGCATGTGGCCAGGAATTTCAATCGAGGCTTCACCATCATTGTAATCTCCAGTTTCTCCGTTTTCAATTCTCAGAATCGATTCAACAAATTCTCTTATTTTATTTTCATTAGACGAAGATGCGTCCGACAGAAGCCTCATGTTCTTGTGCAACCTCATGACACGACATTCTCTCCACGTTGGTGATGAATTGATCATAGCATGTACGATGTCTTGCCTCGATGCTTTAAGTACAACAAGTAATATTTGTCTAAAGTCACCACCAAGAACGATAACCTTAACACCAAAAGGTTTTTATGAATTCAAAATCGATTGTATGATTATGTCCAATGCTTCAAAACAAAACATTTGCATAGTCGGGGCCTCATCCCATATAATAAGTCTTGCTTCAATCAACAATTTTGCTTGAGGACTTTGTTGTTTGATGTTGCAAGTGGAGCTCTCATGCACAATTATCGGGAGTCCAAATCTAGAATGTGTTGTTCTACCACCCCGAATGAGCAATGAAACAATATCGCTCGTGGCAACATTAATGGCAATGCCCAGAATGAACATCGACGGAAAGTGTGTTCCAAATAAATGTCTTCCCTGTGCCCCCCCCCCCCCCCCCCAAGGGCGTACATGAAAAAAATACCTCCCCTGTTTTTCCACACTGCATATATACCTACTCCTACCCCCCAAGAGTAAACCCCTAACACAAATAAACCTAATGAAATTCCACCCTTCTTAATTAAGGAATCCTCCGAAATCTAGTTCATTATAAGTACTAACATATAGTAAGTTCAAAAAACAACCTATGGGTCTAATCCTAGATTAATCTAAAAATATTTCTTAAAAGTAGCTCAATACTCACGGGAAACTTCCTCTATGTTCAAATGTTATGTTAAGTTATGCCTCAAGAATTTAAACCCTGCTCCTAAAGGACCCTTTAATTCAAGTAGTTTACCTTTAGGAAAATCCGACAGTTTTGACACTTTAACTTTAAAAATACATTTTTCTTAAACCATAACTTCAAACATTCCGAAACTTTAACACCATACTCCTGTATGAGTGTAAAAGACGCCTTTAAAACAGTTTTTCAAAATAACCAGTAGAATAAGAGAAATAGGCAAAACAGTACAGTAGTATGGTCACACTTTCAGAAATATAACCAGCCACTTTAAAAATACCCAATAAATCACCCTTTTGTTAAAAAACCGTGAAACTTTTCAGAAAACTGGTTTTATAAGTTATAAATATATTCCAAGTGGAATCCAGTAAATCAAATTAGGAAAACATCGATTTTAAATGCAAATCCTCAGACGACTCAAAAACTATACAGGTTTAGTAAATAATTCGTATCTTAATCATCTGAAATCCGATTGATGATTAAAATATATCAAATTAAAGATAACAAAAAGATATAGTTCCCCATGAAATTTCGTGCGTTTTACAAAACCGATCAATTATGAAACATGCAGTAAACTCCGAGGCTGGAAATCTGAAAATTCCTTAGTCATATCTAGATTCTAAATTTTTAGCTTCTATGCTTCTATAAGTAAAACCTTAAACATATAGCATATAAAACTACATAAAGATCATTTAATTAAATGATTTTAATTCAGTAAAGACCAAGAGGTCCTTACCCATGAAAATCAAAGATTAAGAAAGAAAGGAAACCAAGGATCCCGAAATTAGGGAGAAAGAGCAATTAAGGAGTTTCGGCATGAAAATCTTTGGGCTTGACATGGATGGTATTGGAGAGTTTTGGGGCTGAGTGTTGAGAGATGACTATTTCTTTGTAGGTATTAGGAGAATCCCGAAATTAGGGAGAAAGAGGCATTTTGGGATGATTTTAGAAGAGAAAAAGAGAGACTTTTATGGAGGATCTTCAAGGCTTTGAAGTGGAAGATCAATTCTTCCATTTGGGGAGTGTTTGGACGAGATAGAGGGGAGAGAATGAGGGATTTTGGCTGGTGTTTGTGTTCTGAAAATTGTGAAGATGAAGAGGTTATTTATAGGAGAGTAGAGGGACTTACATGCAATATTGAAAACAAGGGGGGTGTATATAGCAATTAGGAAGACTTGAACACTTGGAAACTCACCACCAACCCAACACATTCAACTTATACACACGGCATTTTCACAAAACACAAAGCACATGCACACACAACACCTATACATACACACATCTATACATAAATAATATTAAAATAGTAAAAGATAAATGGTGTGGAATTTTCCCATGCTCTTACCGAGAGAGAGAGACAGAGAGATCCTATGACATACGTGTACATGAAATAAATATGCACATATAACATACATGCATATATACACCCACATAAATAAATCCTAGCACATATATCATATCATAAACATACACATTCACATAATATGACATACATAATTAAGTCCACATCATATATTATATATTAGCATAAAATATATATGCACATATACAATCCTAATTAGCATGACTTACATAGATGGTCATGTAATTCATTAAATCACATAATTATTAGAATCAACTACTCAATTAATAATGATGTCTACTTCTAAAAATACTATAATGTATCTAAATCACATAAACACGTAGAGAACGTATAAATTGCTACTCGATTAATGAAATGCACGCATATTCGTATTTACTATATATTTAATATAATCATATATAAATGCTTATGAAAATGCGGGTTGTTACACATATTTTATGGAAAAAATAAAAATTCAAAAGATTTATATATAAGTAAACGAAATAAAAGATTTATATATTAAAAACAAAATCAAATCACACAAATAAAGGAAACAACCCAAAGAATAAGACAATAATTTCTATAAAAAAAAACTCTTGCAATATAAAAAAAATTAACTGAAAAGACACGTTTTTTATAATTGAATTTTGATTTCAAAATTAAACTAAATCAAGCAAATATCACGTGCACGAAAATTTGTTTTTACCTTAGAATAAGATACATTTCATATATTTAAAAAAGTCTGGTGGTGAAAAACAAACGCTTGTTATATGATGTGTAATTAGTTGATTTCAAGAATCTTTGTTGTTGCTTAGATATCTATATATAATATAAAAAGAGGATCTATGCCCTATATGAATGACATGTGGCAAATGTTGATGTCATTTGTTCAAATTGCTTAGTTGGAACTCAATTGCTTATGTGTATTAGTCAATTGCTTAATTGGCATTTGTTATTTTGGTATGTATTTAAGTTGTTTCCTATTTAACATTTGCACATTCATTTAAATTTTACCACATGTACATATTCTTTCATAAATTTAATATTTTTATATTCTTCCATTTAATGTTAATTTCATGCATATATACCTGTTCATATTTTTATATAATCCCATTTAATGTTTTATGAGTTATTTAATTACTCAACCCAATTTATATATTCTTTCTTTAATTTTATATGTAAAAAATTCGATAAATATTATTTTACTTAATTAATTTTCCAAAAATGTAATATTTTGATTGTTTTTTATTTACATTTGTAATTTAATGAATTATGTCAATAAATTTATTAATTTAAATATACATGTGAATAATTTGTGAAATATTTAGTTATTTGAACAATTTATAAAATTTGTAGTGTGTTTGAATAATTTATGAAATTGCAGTGTATTTGAATAATTTGAAAAAATATACTAATTTTTTTCTTTTAAACATTTTGTAATACCCGGTAAAATTTGAATAAATTATATTTGAATAATTTATAAAATTTATATTTTTATCTTTACATTACAATTGATTTTTTTTTTAATTTATTAATATAAACATAATAATTTTACAAATCATTCATAATTCAAATGAATCTATCAATAAAATAATTTATCAAGATATATGAAAATGATTAAGGGCTCATTTGATAGGATTAAGTACTGAATGTTGAATGCTGAACGTAGACCTGAATGACTAAGAGCTGTGTCTGAATGTTGAATGCTGAACAGTTAAGTCTATTTGGTAACTGAATATTAATAATGTCTGAATATTATTATTTTCATGTTATGCCCTTATGCAATACTGGAAATTTATTTGTTAATTAAGTTTGATTTGCATACGTGAATAAACACAATTTTTGAATTTGCTACATAATTATTTAAAAAATAAATTTATGGTGGACATTAAACATTTTGATATAAAATAATTCTAAAATAATCAAACCAAATAAAATTCAAATTTAAATCTTAAATTTTAAGTAACTAATAATAATATGCTATCTAAATAATGGATTTTACGATATTTTGTTCTAAAGAATAGTAATTTATTTACTATCCTGATTATTAATAAAAGAATAATAAGATTATAAATAAAATCATCAAATTGAAGAACTAATTGTAAAAGACAAATAGTGGCTAAACCATAAAATAATTCATTCAAAATACAAAAGCAAAAAATATTAATTAATTTGTGGCCACATCATCTTTTCAATAAGGCAATAAATAACATGTGAGTTTCAAAATTTAACAGTAAAGAGAGGAGAGTTGTTGGAATATTAAATTCTTTGATAGGGTTAATTTGTCAAATGCATTCAACGTATTTTCTGAATGAGTAAGCATTATTTTTGCGGCTGAATAGGTAAGTGGGTAACAGTGTTATTAAGATATCTACACCAAATGCACTTAATAGGATGAGGTCTGACCGAATAAGATCTTGTACTTAATCAGAGCTCATTAAGAGGCTATCAAACAGGCCCTAAATATAGCTTATATCATTGATTAATATATATTATATCAATCATATTTTATCAATTAATTAAAAGTCAATTGTTCCATAAATTTCGATATCATATTTATTTGCATTTATCCTTGGAAATATAGTATATTTATTGACTTAGGTGTTTACAAATTCAAATTTAAATTAATATATTCATTTTACTATATTATGAAATTATATTTTTTTTATTTTGAAAATTAAAATTAAAAAATGTGTGTATATTTCATATATTTTGAACATTATCTCAAAATTCGAATATGCATTTAATTTTATGATTGATTTTCTATATTTAATCTGATTTTTTTTCTTTCATTTAAAAATCCGGAATTTTTTATGCAATATTTGGTAAGCTATGCATTTAACACATTAATTGTTTTTTAAATTAAATAACTTTCCGTTAAATGTGCCAACAAATTTTTGAAAGATTACATTCTATTATTCAAAAAAT